ACAGACAGATAGACAGACAGACAGACAGACAGACAGACAGACAGACAGACACACAGAGAGAGAAAGAGAGATAGAGAGAAAGAGAGAGACAGACAGACAGACTGACTGACAGACCGACAGACAGACAGACAGAAACAGAGACAAAGTCAAAGAGACAGACAGATAGACAAGCAAGGCTAACATGAATACGGGCAGACACGTACGCATAGCAAAGACAGAATAGACAGATTTAGATACAGTGCGGGGGAGTGAGGGAAAGAGTATGCGGGATAGAGAATAATAATAAGCAATTGACTTGTATAGTGAAACAATATATCGTTAAAGCATTTACTCGTGTATAGGCCGAAGACAAGCAGACCATAATGATAATATATATAATATGGAGGATTCAAGTTATTTTCTTACACAAGTATTTCAAACACATTTTATATTGGGCAAGAAGAATGCATCACATAATTCATACAGCATAAAATATACATTACGAGCCAGTCTCGTGTTTTATTACAAGTTTACATGCAAAAATGTAATAAGTTGAGAAAACAATACAAGCAAAGCAGAAGTAATAATCATGATAAATTTTACGAACAAAACAAAATTGAACAATGGACAAAAACGATGTAAAATATGAATTGCTAAAGTAAGCTTGCACAGTAAAGTAGCAATATCAAACGCAACAGCGAAATAAATAGCAAAATAATTTGAACAGTTGCTTGGGATCGTGATTTAGTAGCGCACCTGAGTCTTGTTCAAGACTATTTAGGTCAACTAGCGAACAGATCGACACACGCTGAAGATGTACAGTTATTAGATGAGTTAATGTGGCTAATTAAAAGTAGTACCTCGCCAATTGCTCTGACTTAATGTGTATGTGTGTTTGTGTGGGTTTGAAAGATTCAGTCTAATGATAAAAGAACATGACATCAGGAAGACAACAATTTGTTTTGTGTTCTTGCAAATGCAAGAAGAAAGAGTGATTTATTTGAGGAACTGTAAAACTCAAAGCAGGACCTGGGGCTACCCATAATGCCATGCGACGATCTGAGTGCCCCGGATGTCGTTGTGGAGACTGTTTATAGATAGAGGAATTAGCTATTTCTCTCTCAAAATTAAACTGTTACGTTATAACAAAAGGACAAATTAAATGGGGTCTCAAACAATAAAAACAGTGCTCAGCCTGCTATGATAATTGTGCATTCCAATATGGCTCGATTTTGTGACTTTCTCTCGCTGTATTCTTGCATAAATCGCTTTGTCCGAGTCATGTACAGGGTAAAATAAAAAAAATGGAAATCACTGAATTCTTTTTTGCAAGCGTGTATATCAAATGTGAAAATGCTTTGGTGTCTAACAAATGGCGACAAAATGGTTCATTCCAAGTCCGTTTTGAAACGGAGTGATAAGAGTCAAATAAGCAGAAAGCAAAGCGAAGATGTCAATAAATTATGGACATCAAGTTATTGATATTTCTTGAGGCCACTGAGCATGGATGTCGCCATTTTCAGTCGCCATTGAAGATACATTCCTCAGTCTGACTGACATGCTTTAAATCAAATTAGCATGCTCATGAATATGAGTCAGCGTCATGTATTAGTATTAAAACAATGTCATATTCATCCTTTTGTTTTTCCAATTTCAGCAGATATTTAATGCTTTACTGTTCCAGTAGCTAGCAGAGAGACAACAAATTAAGTATTTGAAAGTGTTCGGAAGGCATGAACATGATCAAACAAGGTGTCCTTTGCAGTTGTCTCTCTTTCTCCTTTGCTTTGATTCTTGTAGTCCCATTTCATAATAATACATTTCCCTCTTTTGCTGACCCAGTACGCCATGTCGGTCTTTACTGTGCATTTATCTGCCTCGATTCCTCATGGGCAAGGCATAAGAAGACGTTGTTTCACTCATGACCGGTGTGTCGAGTAAAACAATGGTCATGTTCGCTTTTTGATAACTCGATGACTTTCATAGTCGAGCTAGCTCCCAACTGCCTTTGACATGAGCTCCACAATGACAATGTTGAATTTCAAGAGCTATGGAGAACGCCTTTTCCTGCTTTCCACACGGCTATTCCGCTCCCTGGTACCTCTTGTGACTCAACGTCAACGTTGACATTGACGTAATCAAAAATTGTTTTTTCTACGGTAACTATCGTTTTCTTTGCGTGACGTGAATAGACTATTGCTACAGCTCATTCAAAAAAGTAAATAAATTTACTTGTGCAAATGTGAGTCTTTTGACTTAAAGATGCATTTTGATTTCAGTACCTTTCAAAACGAAAGTGTTATTCACCTGGGAAAAGGTGTCCAGTACCTATAACAATGTCACAGTTTGACGCCGTACCAGTCCATGCTAACAGGAGACAAATCTGTTTGCTTCTGAGTACCTGGGGTAAAAGTGTGTCGTCTGATTTAGCTATTGCTTTTTCATCATTCTTCACTACTGTTTCTCTGCTATCAAATTCAGACAATATAACAACCATGATAAAATATGATTTTAAAAGAAATGTGATTTTTGTTTGAACTGTTCACCGTACGCCCCCCCCCCCCTTTTCCACCCCCACCTATGCGCAAGAGCATGATTAACTGACATTTGCTCAGATTCAAAATGAGACAGGTCTTATTGTGTCACTTGCTGCACTAGCAGGTTTTCAGCTTAGCATTTGTGGCAAGGAATCATGTATTTCTACGAAAAACAACCGCACTGAAGCCTTGACCCGGATGATTGTGATCAATAAAAGAAAACTGCTGAACAGTATGAGTACTTCAGTGTTGTTCATAAGCAGAAAAAGTCATAATTTATTTTGACCACGATGTTGTTCTAAGCAATGCAGATTTGAAAGTATGTCGTGAGAAGGATTCATCATCTCCTGGGATCGTGCTTATCTTGTTTATCTTCTTCTTGGTCTTGGTCATTTTGCGTTTCTAGATCTGGCGGCTGAGCTGGTGTGACTAGTGTGTATGGGCCGTTCAGGTCGAAGATTTCAGTAACGCTCATGGTTGGTTCGAACTCACTGTCATCGTTGTCATCATTGTTGTCGTTCTCTTTATCAAAATGGGGATCATCGCTCCTTGGGATTTGTGAGTGGGGCTCCTGCTCGTCATGACTTGTGAGGGCCGCGGAGAAGCTGGTAAACTCTTCTTTCACGCTCCCTCTGTCGCTCATGCCGTGGACAGAACCGAAAGTCACGTTTCGGGAGAAGTGGTCGTACGGGTTTTCTCCACCAGAAATGATGACGTCTTCCGCGCCACCCTGGTTCTCCGAGACGTGCTGTGCCTCGTTCTCCATGGCTGAAAGAGGCGTATTTATCTCAGCGCGGATAGTGCTCATTTCGATTACGTCGTAGTCCGGACTACTTTTACCAGATGTTTCTATCCCCGGAGAGACGTATACTGGGTTCTCTTTTTCTATCCGCTCGTCGGTTTCCTCTGCGCTGATGACATCATCACCTGTGATGATGCCTGACCGGGAGCTGGTGGAGTTTGCACTCTTTATCTCCCGATCGTAGGAGTTCGAGTCCATAATGTCGTTCCCGGAGTCGTATGGCGTGTTCTGGTCTAGTTTGGTGACCTCCACACTGATGTCCGACAATGACGTCACAGGCGTTGTGGACACCTCCTTGACCGCGTCCAGCACGTCCACCTCGGCCTTACGGGCAGCAAAACTTGACCTTTTTGTCAGCCGCTCCCTTTCCACCCAGGTCAAAGGTCGACTTCCAGAGCCCTCCCCACTCCAAGTGTTCTTTCGCCGTGGAGTAGCTCCGATTCTGCAAAATTGTGAACAAATGACACCGTGTTTATTCTGTTTGTTAATTTCTATTTTTATGGAAAGTGTTTGTAAGCCCCCATTGATATAATTTATATCACTTTGAAGGCTTACTTCGATCCTGCCTGTCAGGGCCAACATTGGTTGAGAGGGACACAACATCTCAGTAAAAATACCGAGATGTTCGATTTTAAAAAATGATCCTAATTCCAATTCAGGTCATTTGTGTTCGACGGCATGGCGCCTAACGTCAACACCACAAACATGCTCATCTGAGATAGGGACACATGTTTGTAAGTAATGGATGACTGGGAGCCGCGCCGGAAGGTTCTATTTCATAGCCATGGCTCGGTTGTGCCTGTCCGTCTGTTTGCCTGTCTGTCTGTCTGTCTGTCTGTCTGTCTGTCTGTCTGTCTGTCTGTCTGTCTGTCTGTCTGTCTGTCTGTGTTATTTTTCCCAGCACTGCACGACCGTCATTATTGGGACGTTCTTCCCTTTAAAATATCTAACAAGTATCTAAAGAAACTCTGATGGCTCATGATCATGCTCAAACTTATTTATTTCTAAAGATACATGTGACCTCACATACATTTTAGAGCTATACGAAACGATCAACAGCATGTGGCTCTATTGAGGATCAACACAAACACTAATTCTATCTGCCAGAGCAGGCAGTCGTCTTCTTTACAAATCTGTTCAATGCTAGACAGGAGATGGCATTTATTTGATTTAACCCGTTTTCAATAAGAATAAGATTGTACAGAAGGGGAAAATGATTTCGGAGGGTGGGGGGTTATTGTTTGTATGTGGAGCGTGCATTAATAAAGGGGAGTATGTGTGAGTATGTGTGAGTGTGTGTACGCGTGTGTGTGTGTGTGTGTGTGTGTGTGTGTGTGTGTGTGTGTGTGTGTGTGTGTGTGTCGTATGATATAATATAATATAATATAATATAATATAATATAATATAATATAATATAATATAATATAATATAATATAATATAATTTTAATATAATTGTTGTATTGCAAGTGCCTAAAACTTTTTTTAACCAATAAAAAACCCCTGACTGACTTGCCAGTAGGCTAGGAGTGTATGTTAGTGACATGTGAATGACCTACCTGTTGGCCTCGTCTTCTGACATGTTGATGCTACTCCGACTCTGAGAGAGGACACCTTTCGCCAGGGTCACCCACGGATCGTTGTTCAGGTTATCTGTAAAAACAGCAATTTAAAAAAAAAATTCTCAAGAACTCAGTTCTAATAGCAATTATTTTTAAAAATAGCAGTTATTAAGAACTCTGTTCGAGTCGTTGATGGTTCTAAAATGGTTGAGACTTTTCGTACCATTATAATGAATAAAATGTTACCTCATTGACTGCCAAGGATGGAAATCTTAATTCAACCCCGCCTGCCGGCATTTCAAGGATGTTTTAGAATGTTCATTAAAACATTGACTGGCCTGGGTATAGCAGAATGTGTCATAACAGCTTGCCACTGTGAAGGATCGAGGATCAATACATGTCAACCTCTGAGTCAAAAATGGCACCTCCGGATAAGGTAATATTGGAAACAGACATACATTAAACTGACACTGATCATTTTCACTTTATCATTTTTAGGTTGTACATGTATTCGTTTACGTACTGAAAACAGATTTTAAGTATAAGAAATACACTATGACGAAATAAAATCCAGGACCAATGTAAATTGAAAATTAAATGGCAAAATGGTGAAATCTTTCAAAGAAGTTATATAAGAGAAGACTGGGTCTCGTGATCATGCAAGCAGAAAACCACAGAGCTCTGGTTACACGTCTTTTGGAACTTTTGGCATAGATTCTCTCGATTGCAGATTTTACCAAATTCACACAAGACAATAAAATGTGAAGTATTGATTTAATCAGATCTATTTTTTGTTTTTGCCTTTTATTTTACAAAGTCGAACTTAAGTTAACAATTATATCTACTACTACTACTACTACTACTACTACTACTACTACTACTACTACTACTACTGCTACTACTACTACTACTACTGCTACTACTACTACTACTACTACTACTGCTACTATTACTACTACTTCTACTACTATTGCTGTTGCTGCTGCTCCTGCTGCTGCTGTTGCTACTACTACTACTATTATTACTACTACTGTTGCTGCTGCTGTTGCTGCTGCTGCTACTTTCATTACCCACAATTAAAACTATTCATTTTTAAAAAGTTTGTATCCCCAAGGTAACTTGAGCGGTATCTGTGTTGTAGCGTTTAGGCGCATAGCTGTAGCACGCAGAAGACTCGAGCTCGATGCCCTTGTGGAGAGAACTTTTATCAATTAGCTCGGTCTTTCTGATGGAACATTGTGTCCCTCTCAGCCCGGGTTTTCTCTGATTGACAGGGTCAAAGCCCGCCTTTTAAATGATCTCGACGGTTTCAATGACTGATCTACATTTGTTTTTTAACACTGTAGATCTAGTTAAGTCGCTACTTAAGCCAATTGTTAATAATGAAAATGCACGTACCTTCCTCTCAGTCTCTTTTGTCTTTTACAGATCCGACACTACATTATGATATTCATTGATCTAGCAGTGTACCTAACTATAAATTGTGTATTTTGCGCTCATACATCTCTTAGCGTTTGAGCTATCCTAAGAACAGCTTACCTATACTATTCGCTGTCTTGCCGTTCCTTGATCTGTGGATGCTCTGCCATTTGTGAGCTTTCAACAGCACTGAGTTTTTGTCATTTTTCTCTATCGTCTCGATAGCTCTCCTTGACTTCTTCTGTTTCCGAGAACTCCCACGTGACTTCCGACTCCGGTCACTGAGTCGCTGTTGTCGCAGGTCTTTGGCCAGTTTCAGATACCTGAGACGTACAGCACACGCATCATTCGTAACAGTTATACGATTCTGGTCAGGGTAGACAGTACCAACCCGCCTCCCTAATCATATTTCATCCCTATCTTGCAGTCCTTAGTTTTTGGCTATAAGTAGGATCAGTCTACATCTTTAGACAGTCTATGAAGACGATTAGACAATGCTAGTTAGAACCAAAGAAAAAGTAACACCCCCCCC